TCCAACTATCCAGAAAGTAAATTGTGCTCTGGTGCACTGCTATATCTAAAAAAATTGGATTTAAAGCAACTTGAGCAGAAACTGCAGATACAAGTGAAAGAAGTGATGGAATTCTGAGGCGATCAACTATATATTGCCATTAGCTTGATACCCGTGCTTTACTACAAAACTATATGGTTGGGCTTGGTTTTGGGGGAAGAAAATAACAGGGGGTGGGGGGTGGAATTCTGTCTCTGCCTACCAGCATCCATCAATATTCATCTGGCTAGCATCCTGTCAGTGTGTGAGAAAGTTGAGGGCTGTTTGGAAACTGAAACAGTATTTGCTGTGTGAGCAAGAAGGAGATAGCAAGGAGCCTGGGTGTGGCTTAGCTCAACTGTTCTGTAGTAAAGCTGCTTGCTTCTGTGAAAGTAAAACTGAAACTCCTCTCTTCTGCTTGTATTTTGCATTTGGAACAGATTTCTTTTCAGGTAGGGAGGGTGAGTAGAACTCCTTAGTATCAGAGCGTGTCAATATATATTATTATTATAATATACGAAGTATTAATGCTCGGGTGGTCATTTTGAAAAATCCTTTCTTAGTGAGCACCTAGAAGCCAAGAGGAACATATGTGCCAAATTTCAAGTTTGTAGGCTTTACAGTTCTGGAAATTTCATGATGATGCATGAGTGGTATTTTGCTTTTATATATAAAGATTTCAGAAATTGAATGCCATTTTTAAAACTCTGCTCCTAGAGAAATGTATTCTATTTATTAAAATCCTGGAACTTGAGACGGGGGAATGGGAGAGAGGAAAAAGAACAGAAAATTCAAAAATTACATATTTACCACCTGCAGTCTGAAGCGGTACATATAGAGCTCTTCTGCCTGATTTCCTATTCATTCTGTTTCATATCTAAGCCAGAATAATATACAAAAAGGGCGGAAATGCTATACAAATTTCCTTACTATGCTAAACTGTGGAGAACAGGCATAATAGCTGATGATGGTGCTAACATTACAATTGTTTTTCCTCTGATTGAAGATTGAAAAAAATTAATTCTAAAGTATCTAACTGTTTTCACCAGAACACTGACGGGAAGGTGACAGATTTCCTGAGTTTCTATACACTGCCCTCCACCATTATGAATCATCCTACACACAAGAGTTTGAAGGCAGCCTATTCTTTCTACAATGTCCACACCAAAACACCTCTTATTGACCTCATGAATGATGCTCTCATACTGGCCAAATTGGTGAGTTTCTTTCTTGGTTTGCTTCTAAATGATGTAGCATTTAGGGGGGAAAGGTGTTGATGCAATCAATCTCTCAGAGAAGAAAAATGCAGAAGGCTCACTACTTGATGTTGTTTTTAAAAACAGCAAGTAGTGAGCCTTCTGCATTTAAAAAAATATATGAAATTAATTCTACAATTGAGCAAAACGTCTTTCTTCTTAATACCATGGAGCTACAAAGCATATTTACCCACCAAGTTTTCTTTTAACTGCCTCTTTTTGCAGAAGGGTTTTGATGTTTTCAATGCCCTGGATCTTATGGAAAACAAGACCTTCCTGGAAAAGCTGAAATTTGGAATTGGCGATGGAAACTTGCAGTATTACTTCTACAATTGGAAATGCCCCAGCATGGGAGCAGAAAAGGTGGGTAAAACCCTGCCTCTTGCATGTTAGGCTAGACAAATGACATGAAAAAAGTTGTCAGTACAAAGAGCCTTCCAAATCATTATGCAGATTGAGGCACACAAAGGATAGGCAGATCCGCTGCTGGAGAGAAGGAGTAGCAACAGCTGCAATGTAATCCCAAGGAACATAGCTTGTCTACTTACTGCAATTACCTCAGAGGAACAAAGAGATAGGGGGGGAGTCTTAAATTCACTGAAAATGGAGTTCTAGAGGAAGATGTTGAAAACCAGCAGTTTTGTGGGAGATCCAAATAAGCGAGTGACTAAAGCGGAGGTAAGAGAAGCACCATCCCAGGTGCTCTCTTGTTGCTGAGAATATGGTGGTGGGGAAGTGTCTTTGAAAGTAACTGAATGAATGTGGGCAAAAGGTGCAAATGAGAGCAGGGGTGGAAAAGAATTGATGAGGAAACCCGCTGCATCTCCTTCATTGCAAATTTAGATCAGCGTATGAGCTGTGTACCCTTCTTATGCCTTGTGCATATAGAAGGCCACCTCTTATCAGTTTAAGAACTCGTGAGAAAATAGTGGAGTCTGTGTGGATAAGAGATTCTCCATGTCAAATATTCATTAAAGGCAAGAACGGGAGAACAGGGTTAGTGGAATGAATGAACAGAACTGGAAGTATTAAGCATGCTTATCCTGCAGTAAGGCTCATGGATCTTGGGACTTGCTACAGAATAAGCATGCATGGATTTCTTTGTGCTTGCACTGAGTGCAAAAGCCCCCCTTCCCCCCCCCCAAAGGAAGAGGCGGTTTAGTAGTACAGTAGCAGCTTTTATATGTTATGTGGAAGTAACACCCGTGGAAATTAGTTATTACAAAGTAAACTGCTTAAGTTTATGCTTCTGAGCCCAATCCCTAAAACAATTTCTTTCTCTGTATATAAGAGAAAAAATGTTGTAAGGGGAAATGATTTGTATATTTATGCAGATAAATTAGTGGAAAGCCTTAATTTGCAGGCATTTAATATTTCGATAGGAATAAGATTTTTTTTTTTATCCTGCTCCATCCTTTCTTGCTATAGTCTTTAGCTAGTTCATGTGTAATATTCGTGTGTGCATTACAGTTTTGCATTGATCTGGATTGATTTGAAATATGGTTGATTTAAGAAAATCCCAATCAGTATAATATGCATGGTTCAATCCAATACTTCTTTGGATCCAGGTTATTGAGTAATGCTGAGATTCACATGTGTAAGTTTGGTTTTCACATAAACACATTTGCTGGGAGGAAAAATCTTTTGCAATTGGCAAAATAAGCAGGATATCTGCTTGTTTTGTTTGGTTGGTTGGTTTTACCTCTGATCTTTGGGAAAGGGGTCTCAAATTCAGACTTCCTTTGGAGTAAATATTGAAGAAAAAAAATAACCTTCCTTCCTAAGTTTTGAACTATTATGGGTAAGTAAAATCTGAAAAAAAAAAAAATTAAAGGCCAGCACTGATTATCAAACTCCTTTTCAGTATTCAGGAGACAACCTGCTTTGAGTATAAAGCAGGATTCACCCGTCAGGTGAGTTGTGCATAGACCTGCTGAGTCAAAAGCACGAAAATACTTGCTAACTCTTCATTTCATCTTGAATATTTTTCATAGGTTGGCTTGGTGCTGCAATAACCAATTTTCTCCGAAGAAGGGCAGGCGGAAACTGAAGGCTGAAGTCCTCATGGTTCAGAGTTCCATGGAAGTGACACAGCCCTGGGGAGGAGCTGGTGACCACTGCATTTGCTATGTGACATGACATTTCTGATGATTGTATCACGTGCCACTGAGCACACCAGTGTATTTCTGCCAGCTCTTGGCCTTTCCCCTCCCTCTTCCCCTCATACAACATGATCAAGGGAATGTAACTGCTGAGAACTAGCTCACAATTTTACAATTGGCATACATTGGAGTTAACGGGTGAATAATGACAAAAATTATATTATATATTCTATATTTTAACAATGATTGCTGTTCATCTGAAGTGGAAAATGGGGTGGTATCATCAGGCAACATAGCTTTTTAATCTTAGAATTATTATTCAAAGCCTAGTGGTTTATTAGGATGATTTTTTCAAAAAAAAAAAAAGACCAAAAATTCGGCTCTTTGGATTTTCGTCAGAAGAGTATATTGCATTCCCTCTTCCCAAAAGAGGTGTATTCCCTTTTTATGAAACAAAAATGATTCTGAGCTGCAGTACATAATTGGCCTAGTTAATGGAAGTTTTAAAGCCAGCTTTCAGTTTTTACATAGCACTATGGCCTTTTTAATTCTGATCCCTTGTTAAGACAACTTTCTTTTAAAAACCAAAGGGCTATTTCAATGATGGATGATCTTTACTTTATGGTGGAATGGGGTATGAATCCCAGCTATTGTTCCCTGGATGTGCACTAATAAAACTATAGTATAATGTTTGAATAACCAAATGTATAGTTTGTGGCTTTTGGTTTATGGAATCCATTCTTGGTTTTGTTGAGGAAATTCTCCAGTTTCTTCCAAGAAATTGTAATGGGGGGATATTTAATATCATGAATTGTAGCTATTCTCTGTCAATCTCCGTTTATTTTCTAGCTATGGTATCTAATGCATCAATTATTCTAAACTTTAGTTTTCTGCCTTGCAATCAATTTATATTGTCTAGCTTTGAAAATAACTCTATGCCCATTTCCTCTAATGAAAATTGGCTGATAAAATCAGACGCTCTGCTAGTGGATTAAATATATATAGCAATTTTGCTAGCGTTCACATAAAACTTGCTAGTGTTCACAGAAAACACCAGAGAAGCTAGAATGAAAATGTATTCAATATATTTTATAGGATGTAAGAACTTTGTTGGTGGGATAAATGTTAGTTAGGTTATATAGGGTAGTCCTTGAGTTATGAACAAAAATTGAGAGCAAAATTCCCACTGGCAAGCTGACACTTGTTAAGTGAGTTTTGCCCCATTTTATGAACTTTCTTGCCACAGATGTTAAGTGAATCACTGCAGTTGTTAATTAGTAACAGAGTTATTAATTATTCCATCTTGGAGAGGGGGCTCAATTTAACTGCCCAGTTAAAACTTGACCCTAATTTTTTTTGACTGATAGGAGTGAATTTTGAAGCAAACATGCTTTAGGAAGATATACTTCTTTGTCAAAGTCAGCTTTTGGATGTAATTTTAGTTTGGTTCATATTAATGAACTGGGATCTAGATTTTAGTACACTACATTACAGTTCCCAGGCAGCAGGACCAATGATGAGGACTACTGAAATTTATAGTTCATTAACATCTGAAGGGCCTTTCCAGTATACTATTTCAAACTACCATGCCATAATATAGTATGACAATGAAAAGTTTTTAAAAAAATCTTCCAAAATATGATTATCATGTGACTAGGACGGTTAGTATCATCTCATCTCATTTTCTCAGTGGAAAGCTTGAATCGTGCTATGTAAATCAAGGTTAATTTATCTTGCACAGATTAGTTTATTGACATAATGAAATCTCTGTAATTATAGATTTTTTTACTTCAGGGAAAATACAGTGATAGAGGAGCACATATCTATATGACTTTTAGTATGCATCATCTGTGTGGTGGTTAGTAGATAGTGTAATAGACAATATAGCACAAAATGCCTAATTCAAGAGCTTATATACTGCTTTGGAGAAAAAAGGCATTTTGGAAATTTGAAACAAATCTTGTGGAAAAAGATTATATTCCCCCCCAAAACCTGCACATTTCTTGTGTTGTTCCTTTCAATTAGTGAAAGACATCTACACTTTTAAAAAATCCTTCTATTTGCATAGTTAGCTTAATTTTCACAATGACAGCAGTATAAATGATAAAACTTCAATATGATCTCTCTGCCTTTGCTCAGTGTCCAAGTTGTCCTTTATATAGTATGGGCAATTCACTGGTAACTTTTTTGGGGATGTAATTATTCCCATATATGATATGGGAAAGATAGAAAACTGCTCTTGAAAGCTTCAGTGCTAATATCTGCTTCTATTGCAGATGTGCTGCTGAATTCAGATTCTGTACACACTTTGGAAGACCAAATTCTGGCATTTTTGTTTGGTTATTGTAGTTTTATTTTCATTTCTGTTACAGTTCTGGATGTGAACCATATCAAAGATAACTTTGGAGTCCCGGTCTCTTGTGCATGTGATCCCTTTGTAGCATTTGTTGAATGTGAGAAATGCATAACAACCTTTTTTGTCCCTTCTGTGTTTCATGAGGGAGAGCTTGAGAATTTAATTTTCATCAAAGATCCCAGTTATAGATAGCATCCCATCTTTAAAAATGGCACATTTACTGCATAAGCATTAATTTAAAAAGTTTAGCTAGCTGGTATCCTAAAAATAGAAATAATAAGAATAGCAAATCAGTAGTTGTTAGGATAGGCATAAATACAGATAGTCAGAAATAACGTGCTAGTACAATCCCACCGTATAAGTTCTTGTATGGATAGGATGCACTTAAGATCTCTCCAATATGCTGAAGCATGACCTGACATAAATCCATTGCCAATCCATTGGACAAAACAGCAGATCATTATTTCTTAGCATCATTCCACCCACATGCCTGAAAGCTCTTCCACATTCTACTGTTCACTTTTTCAGATCCTGTATTTTAAACCTTCTTCCATCCTGCCTCTACTGAATAATTAAGGTATACCAAGTGTAATTGAGTGATTCAATAATTTCATATGCAGTGATTTAGGAGAATGACATTCTCATAAGTTATTATTTGCATTACATGGGCTGGTTCTCCTGCCTCTCATAACATGCAATTAAAAGTGACTTTGGGTAAAGAGTAGGAAGTCCACTGAGAGTGAATAAGTATTAATCCATGGTAAGAAGGTTGCCTTCAAAATAATGCTGTTTATTTGAGAAACAAGACAATAAAATTATAACTGTTTTAAATAAGGGAGCAGGTTTTCCTAAAGCATGCTGATTGGCAGGTTTATATAATTTAATTGATGGGTTAGCCTTCAAAAACAACAAGGGTCATTGGGTTGGGGCAAATTTCTAATAATTTAATCCTTGACTTCCTCCTTACTATCCAGATATAGAATCTTAAGTGACGTGTAGTTACTTTATTTGTAATAAAATGCCACAGCCGTCTCAAATTGATAAATCTTTTCTCTTATTAAATAGTTATAAAGTTATGTTTCTAAAAGACAGACATCATGCCAGTTGAAAAAAAAATCATCTGTGGAAACATTTTCCCCTTTAAGACTTAGGTTTACTCCTCAATTTCTGTAAGAAAAGTATTACAGGCTTCAGCTATACACCTTGGTCAAAGTGCTGTTGTTGTTGGCTTGGTATAAAGTTTTCAGACAATTTGAATAAATTTTGTGGCCAGAGAATGAGTTTTGACTTACACATTTGCACATGGAAATGTGAGTGGCTTTCTCTGTAAAATATGTTTCAACTATACTTGCATTACAAAGTACTTAGCATTTTTCAAACATGTTTTGGAAAATGGGAGAAACATTTTTATTTGTGCACAACCCAAGGAAATCTGAATTTTAGGGAGAAATCCATATTTATGATTTTACCTGCTTTTTAAAAACAGAACAAAAATATTTTGGCTAAATTTGTTTATAGAACCTAGAAGAACATTAAAAAATACAAATTTATCCCAATCAATATTGCCCAAATTTCATACATATTAAAGGAACTGATCCTTCAGAATTCTTCATAGCAATTACAGCTTTATTCTTTTTCTTGTTTGGGTGCTCCATGGAACTTGAATATTCTCTAACTAGATCATTTACTAAAATTAAATCTGATTTTACTTATTTAATACATTACAAACAACAGTCTTTTTAATATATAGATAATTACAAAGTAACAAATTCTAGAAGATTTTTAGGTTCATGGGGTCTTTTTTCCATTGGAGAAGAGAGGGGCAGACAATGAACACATGTCATTGCTTTTGAGAAACTTCTCTACATAGAAAGACCAGGTCTGGATTTGTAAATTGCATTTAAATAGGCTCCATTAAAAATAAATAAATAAATTCAAAAGTAAACGTTGTCTAGTGCTAAACATCACAGAACATACAGGATTGACGAAAGCAAACGTCATCAGGTTTCAACTATTTAAATTCATTTCTGAATTTGATTTGATCACTTTGTCATAATCTATTCCACAGGAAAATCTAGAAATGGCCAGGAAAAAAACTGTTTTATTAATTTCTGTACTTACAACTCACCTTCCTCTGAAAAATCTCAAGAAATATGTATAGTTTACTTCCCCATCCACATTTGAACTTTGTTTCATAAAGTGACACTGCTACAGTAAAATTTGGATTTGACTCAAGGCCCATCTCATACTACTTGGGTGGGAGGCCAATTTAGACTAATTTTTGAAAACTGCAGTAATAGGTTTCTGTTTTATAAGTTATGTGTAGCTGCTATTCAAATACCCTTCCTCTTGCCCTATGTTGTCTTTTGCATCCTGTATTGTATCCAAGAGATTGAATTTCATGCTGCATGACCAGATATTACCATTGGTTGGTCATCTTCCCTCTGTTCCATAAGGTAACGTTATGCCTATTACTTATTTTTACAAATAGTGCAGAAGTAAAATATGGAAACCTGAACCTCACACTTCTGATAGCAGCCCAAAGTACACCCATAAGAGAAATTTGAGCTTGTCTAACAATAGGTCTGGGCCAATTCTATAGCCTAGTTTTTCCTTGCTGTGTCAGGACTGATGCCCCAGATTTTCTACCCCAAGTAAAAAGTGAACCTCTATCTCCAAACGAGAATACAGATCTAAAGTGCTGTAGTGTACAAGCCTTCCTGTGTTTAGAAGTGGTAATTATACCCTGCAAGAGAGTAAGCAGCTGCTGCTTCATGAGATGGGTCTAATTGTAAGTAGGAACATAGGAAGGAAATGGTCATAGTTTGGAAATCTGCCTAGAAAAATCAGGAGGGGGGGGGAGGGCAAATTCAAAAGAGAATCTACTGAGCCAAAAGTGAAATAGGAGCAGCAGCCAGGCAAACGTCTTGATGGTGTCTGATATCTTTGCTAAAAATCTGGGTGTGATCTGTGGGAAGAATCATTAAAGAATTTTACTTGAAGCCTCATTGAAAATGTTCATAAGTAGCACTAAAATAATTACATACTCTTCTTGTTCCTATGTATGTTGTCATCCAAGCTCAGCTGTCAGATTCATTTGACTTCTTTCTGAATGCTTGGGAAATACCTTGCACTCTATTTGTATTGAGGCTGAACAGCCAAAAAATAAGATTAGGTTGTATGATAAAAACATGTTCAGAAATTCTTTAGTCTCTAAAGTATAAATGATGAACCAACTCTTTCAAGAAACTATTGCAAATTAAAAGTAGACTATAAAGATATGCTACTTGAAATGCTTTGAAAAAACACATCAAATGAGTTATTACCGTTTTCCTTTATGTCACCTTAATATTTACTGTGAAGCGATCATCCATAGCTTAAGCATGAGTGCATACTATAAATTTTCAATTGACTTATCTTCCATCTAATCCAAGCTGCAGTAAATGGTGAAAAATAAAAAAAAAACTCAGTTAAAACTACACTCTTGTAAGTGCTCTCTTGGAACAAAACCTTACTAAATTATTGTTATAGGCTGCCTTTCCTCTAGTAACTCAAAACTGTGTGTGTGTGTGTGTGTTCCTCACAAGAACAATCTTGTAAAAGGTAATATTGAGAGGCAGTGATTAACTTGATGGCTCCCAATAGGAGAAGGATAATGTAAGATTGTAATATAAAAATCCTTTGAGATGCATTGTGAGTGACAGCTTAACTAGCAATTGCCAAAACAGCCACAAGCTGCCAACAGCTGATTTTAATTTGTACTGAAAGATTAAATCCTCTGAAACTATATTATTTCAAATTCACCAGGAGAAACAATATAGCAAAAATAAATTCATCCTTAATGCTCTAGTGATTTTTTATAGTTCACAATGAAAAGTTCTAAGAGAAAAATAGCACACCGCTTCAAATCTAATTTCTAAAAGTACATTTCTCCCCAAATGAGTCTGAGAATGTGTAGGAATACTAATATTTTCCTCATATCAATCTATGTGATGTATCAAAATAAACCTAAGAATAATTATTAGTGTTTGTCCAGAATAAAGACCATATAAATACATATGTTTTGAATAGCAGTTAATACTAATTTGTCAATTAGTATTTAAATCTCATTAAAATTGTCCTGGAGTATCAGGAAAAGCTAACCAAGTAGATGAAGGATTTTCATATATCTATGATACTTCTGGGCTTGTGATTAAATTCTACAATCTTCTGTCTTAAAAATTCCCATCTGTTGTTCATTATTTGAAACATGATCTTTGAAATAACCTAAGTTTTATGCTACGTGTAGTATTTTTGTCCTAAACAAATAAAGATCTAGTTTTGTGCCCAATCTCCATTTTGGCCTGTCAAAAGTACATATATATTCCATCAGATTCCAAATCGGTTGGGCTAACTCAAATTCTACAATTCAATTTGTGGGTCACATTTCACTTTCTTGGGTCTTTACTACAAGGGTCATACCACCATCACTCATTAATCTTAGTCATAACTCAATCTATCTCACATCCTTAGATTTCAATGGACCTAGCCCAAGTTTACAAGTTATCTGTTAACATCTTTTCATTAGGCTTCTTCTATTGTGACTAACAAAGAAATAATACAGAAAATCCCTATCTGCAATGTGTATTTTTGCAGGCCACTGCAAACAAGAGAATAAAATGGAATATTTAGTCAGATTAAAATCCTGTCTAGGAAAGCATTCTAGGAGTCTTTAGGTTACCTCGTTTTTAGCTTCAACTACACAAAGAATCTTAAATCATGATCTAATAAAATAGCTTGAATATTCATGCTCTTCTCTCAGCCCGGATCTTCTGGCTGCAACATTCGTTCTTTGTGGCTCCGACCTCACTTGATTTAGTAGCAGCTGGCATCCAGAATTAGCACAACCATTCATCCATTCTTCTGAGGACTGATTAGACCTTCTCAATCCACTTTCACATTTTCCAAATCGAACCTTTATTGTAGCTTTCACATCTTCCTGCATCTAACATGTACAAAAAGAGTAGCTGGAGAAAGGGAGGTACCATCCTTGGAAAGCAAATGGATATGCCGGTAACCTGAAGAGAAAGTTACAGGAAGATCTCTGAGAATGGGTATACAGCGCTCACTAAACTAGCATATATTTCTTCTACGTGACCTTTTTCTGTTATATAAACACATTATCATCATTCAGCTCATAGCCAGTTCTGAGAATTTAAATCACAGAATGATCTAAATCTGCAATCTGATGTCTCTAAGAGCCACACCAAATGTAGTAATTTGCAAATTCTGCAGCCTCTGATTCTAAAATGTCTGAGAGGTAATTGTTGGAATGGTTTAACACTGAAAATTCCTTTGAAACATCTGTCTTTGTGTCATTATTTAAATTCACTCAAGGAACTTGTTCTACAGGCAAACTTCTATGTAGAGCCCATCAGGACTGGTACTTTCTGGTGGTAGATCTATTCAACAAATAAATCAGGCATGAAACCAACTAATCTAAACTTGTGTAGAATTTCTGCTACTTCTAGGCAGATTACCACCAGGCTCTTCTAGAAAGTTCACAACACCCTACTCAAGCTATTTTAATACTGGAAGAAAAACACCCACCTTCCCTAATGCTGGGCAATGGCAATGTAAATTGTCCCACAAAATCATTGGAGGAAGTTGTATCATAATCCTCTACTACAAAGCGCACCAGTGCCAGGTCTGGAACTTGTATCTGAAACATCAATATCTCATTCCAACATGGGTTGAATCCTGCAGAGGGAAAGTCCAAGAAGTAGAATTTCAAAGACAGAAATAGTATGGAGATCCTTTGTTAAAGTCAGATTCCAGTATAACCTATACTAACTAAGAATTGCTTTAAATCTAGCAAATTTTCAGAAAGTTGTTTTTTTTCCAGACTTTTGAATTTGACCTTTTTTCTCCACTATATAGTCTTATTTACAAATTTTCAACTTCAAAAACAATTTGTTTTTGACAAAATGTTTGCATTCAACAGATAAAGGGATTTTAATAAATGTACCATAAATACTGCATTGGGTGGATATAAGATGTTGCCTTATCCTGTACCTGGCTAAATATTCACCTGCTATAACCTCCCAATTCAGCTGAAAGGAAAAGGATGGATCAGAAATCTGAAAGATCCACGTAATTTTGTTATCCCAGCACAAAGATGCTTATTCCACTTTCTCCTTGTTGGGAGTGTGTCCTCACAATACTACCTATCATAATGTCAATTCACTGAAAATTTGGAGACAGCTTTAGGTCTTCCTGTGTAGAAGAAGTGCTTTGCATATTAGGTTGGCACAAGACATTCTGTGAAGATAACCCAGGGTTTTCAGAGCAGGGAGAATAGGAGGAAAGCATGACGAAACCATTTGTATGGATAAGCCAACTCAGAATAAGCCAGCTTCTTATACCAACCTTATGGTTGTTAAGTTGTTTCAACAATTAAGGTTGAAAACAAAAAGCATGTTCAGAGGACTTTTTCAGACTTGCTACTCGTGTTTCCTTTTTATCTGGAAATATTAAGAACTAACCTTGGGATTTTTTTCAAACTCTAGCTTTGTCTGGTCCAATAGAAAGGGGAAGGATATCGTGGTCCATCAAATGCTATGCTATGAACTAACTATGCACAATTCATGACTATTCATCATGCTGGGTGGATCCAATACAACCAACAATTCTCTACTTTTGCTTCTCTTTATTGCTTCCATTCCTAGGCTTTGTCTCACCATTATTTAACCGGTATTCAGTTTGTTTCTTGCAGCAGTCTGCAGGAATTCCATGAATCTCAATCCGTACAAAAGGATCAACAATGGAAGAACTCTTCTCTTTATTTAGTTTGGGAAGTTGCTGAGCTGTAATCACCTGAAAGGAGGAAAAAAGTCATAATAATCATTTCTGCATTCTCTTGCAACTCTTAAAAACCAACAAACAATGTACACAAAATTGGCTGAATATATTAATTAGTACGATCCTAAAATCAGAATTAATTTCCATTGATTTGATTTGGTTAGAGTAGCCAAATGCAAACAAACAGAAAAGGAGAGGGCTCCTACGCTTATAATTGTTCGGTAGAAAAGAGAATTTTAGCAGAAGGGGCCCTTGCAAAACTACTGCCTATCTGCCACAATGCCCTCTTCAATGCAGCTAATGAAAGTACAGATGCCTCATCTTCTTTACACCCTGTGTCCTTAATCAGGCTATTTGCTCACTGCTATCATCAAATTAAAATTCTGTACCCAGGGATTAATGTCTTCCAAAAAAAATAGAGGTCTGCAGTCTCTGAAAATGATGCAAAGCTATTTTCCATAATTTAATATATAAATCTGGGCTGCATGATAATATATTCCATCAGAAGCATTGAAGTTCTACACCAACCACAGTGAAACTTATTTAATCCTTTTTTCAGCATTTGAGATTTCAGTGGATATTGGTCATACTAGTTTGAAATAACTTTGTAGCCTAAGAGTTAGAAACCTAGGATATTTGCAGTCCTCAGGGTTATTTATTAAAAAACATTGTTTATCTACTCAGTCTTTTCTGTTTTAGCAAAGTTTTTTCTTCTCTTTGGGGAGAAGAAAAAACTCAGAATTTTAAATATATTTCAATCAAACTACCTCACAGAGTTATGAGATACAATGAGGGAAGTAAAGATCCATACATGGTGCTTTAGGGTCCTTAAAGGCAGGTCTATATACTAACTCAAAATCATAGTAAAGTAGAGAATAATTGTTATAAGTAAAAGGTGGCATCATATGGGTGATTTCCTCCAAAATTCTATTAACGTAGTAAAGATCCTTTACAATAAAAAGATCTTTCGGAAGCCGTTTTATGTTTGGCTTTTAAACAAAAGTCTTAATTTATATTAAAGGTATGCATGTTTCAATTTCTGTAGAACCTGGAAATAGCACATTTAATTATGGTCATGACATTAAAGCCAAGCAATAGGATTTATGCAATAATGTTTCTTGTTAAGTCTACTGTTCCATCTACTTTCCATTTATATGCACCTAAATACATATAGCAAGCAATTCAAAGAATATCCTACATTCTACTATACCTTGATGGTGAGGACAACAGGGTGCTGGCCACTCCTATGAATGGGAACCTTGGGGTCAAAATTACTCTGGTTATTGCATAAGAAAGCAGGTTTCAGCACATAGCCACAGCGGCCATTTACCAAAAAACGCCCATCATTCAAATCCATCTCAGCACCTGGCGTCTGGAAATTCAATGCCACTGAAATATGAACATAGAAAGAAAGATGATTAAACAGATCATAAAACTGAAATATTATCATGGTGCAGTTTCATAAAACTTTGTATCTACTGGCACATTCAAAAAGCAGCAAGACGGTACAAACTGTGGCAGTGCAAGCAGTCTTTGGGGTCCCTAGGACGGCCCATATTACGCTTCTATGAACTTCACTGGCTACCAGTCTGCTTTCAAGTGCAGTTCAAGGTATTGGTTGTGACCTTTAGAGCAATTAATGACATAGTTCCAGGCTACCTGATGAACCAATAGGACAAGCCCATCCTACTCATGCCAACAGAGAGGGTCTACTTTGGATCACATCAATCACGATCCAGAAGAAGAACCTTTTCTGCTGCAGTGCCCACTTTCTGGAACATCTTACCCTTTAAGGTAAAACTTCCACTCACCCTCCTATCCTGCAAGTGCCTGAAGATGTGGCTCTGCTGGTTGACTTGGGCACCAAATGTGGGAATTCCACAATGGAGGTGGCTGCTGGATTGATGACAGATTCCCCCTTCCCCCTTGCTCTCTGTTTCCATCCATCCAACATTTTGGTTTTCATATTGATATATTCTTGTTGTGTTCCCTTTTCATTATTTTCTGAGTTCTATTGTCTTACACTCCTTTCATTTATTCTTTTTTATAATTGTAACCCTCCTACAGTAGCCTCATGATGAGATAGGTGGCAAATAATTTTTTCAAAATAAATAAAAAATAATGAGAAATAAAATAGGAGCAGATCTTGGAAGTTTAAAGACAGGATATCTGTGGTACTCCCTTCTATTAATGCATTATTAAACCTGAGGCGCATATTTCTCTTCATTTGTGATTATTAATTTGTTCTAAGGAATACATGTTACATTTAATTCAAAATATATCTAAGCTGCTGAAGGAAACTATTACGGAACAAAACATTTTAATGCTTTGTTTTGCACATTATTTTAAAACTTTGAGGAAAGGTGTACAGTTCAACAGCAGAGCATCTACTTAAAATCCAAATGATTTCAGAGTCAGCTTCTTCAACTCTGCGACTTCAAGCTGACAACCATCGCCCATCCTATTCGGCTCAATGGATTGTATTGTTTCTCTGCATAAGGTAACTTCCTCCAGTGAATAAACAATAACGTGAAAAGATTTATACCAGTGGTGGCTAACCTTTTTGGGCTTCTGTGCCAAAACTTTGTGTGCGCTTGTACACTTGCACTCGCCAGCACCCAGAAGACAATGCGTGCCCCCCCCACGGCCCCTACATATGCAGGCCTAATCCCCCCCCCCCCACCCCATTCCCCCTCCCCCCACCACAGAGCCCCCCCCCCCCCCCCCTTCCCCGCC